GATTTATGGGGTCCGCATTTTTTATCCAACATGTAATGGTAAACAAGTTAATGGCCCACCAGATGTAAAGTGGTAATTGTCGTGTATAAACGTAAAAAGAACTATGGGCTTCACAAAATAGGAATTACATTGTAAAAAATTTTAGAAGTTTCTAATGTGGTGTAATGTAATGTGCACCCGTGCGAAGCCGGGGCGGGTCGCTAGTATTTGTATAAAAAAAAAATTAAAACTTAACCTTATTCTTTTCTTGTTATTTTAAAATGTATTTTTCCTATTTGTAACCCTGACTATAGTTCTGGTGACAGCGGTTCAAACTATATCATTTAATATCACGTTTCGACTGTAAAAATACATTGTTAGCGGCCTGGCGTTGCTCACACCCGCTTTTATGGCTCCCGAACCGAATGATAGGCACTTGTTTGCAATTTATTTTACAACTTAATAGAGAAAGCTTTATCTTTGTCTGTATCTTTATTTATAACTTTATTGCTATTAATATGTTGCCTACATTTTTTTAGACTTTAATGCACCATTTATAAAAAAATAAATACAGTTAATTTTAATGAAAAGTGATACAAAAGGCGGCCTTATCGACTAGCCATCTGTTACAGACGACCTTTGGGTAGAGGAATTAAGAACATAAGAAATACTTAAACATTAAGAAAAAAAAAGAGGGAAGGTGGCACACTATTATATATATACTAATATATACATACATATATATTTTGTTTTATTTTTTTAATTTAGACTTCAATTAAGCAGAAATTGGTATACCATGAAAGCAGATCATTTGAATCCTCGTGACAACGTAAAGAGATGGCTTCTGGCATAGAGTCGACCTAACTATATATTTTGCTAGCAAAATACTACTTTCTACTTTTGCAATAACAGTGAACATAATGCTCGAAATGGTCTACCATTATTTGAGAGTTAATAGAAAATTTTATTTTACTTATTTTTAGTGTCAGCCAAATTTGAACCTACGACCTTTGTAGTCTATTAGTCAGAGAAGTATACCACTGGACCATGACGTTAGATGAACCTGTTGTATCGTCCGTTTCCACGTAGTCCCGGCATAAAATAGGCCGCCCGTTCCTTTCCCGTCGGCGTCATAAGAGGCAACTAAGGGAGAGCAAGGAATGGGCAGCAGCCTCCCTCTTAATACATCCCCAAAAACTAACTGTGTGCTAAATAAATGGGGCAACTACTGGCAAACCCCTCTTATAAGAGAGGCCTATGTTTAGCAGTGGGCAGTTTTTTTTTAATGGATAATAATGAAATGATATCCCAGCCTGCACTAACGGTATACGCTGACGGGGCACCAGCGAGGGGTGATAGATAGGTGATAATAGAAAGGAAGGTCAGTTAGACCATTGTGATGTATACACATAGAATTTAGCACGATGGTTTCCAGGGGGATCACGTGACAAGGTATATTGCTAACAATGGGACTGGAAGTCCGCATTATTAGCAAATTACTCTTTTAAATCACTACTGGACAGATTTGAATGAAATTTGGTATATGGGTAGGTTATATCCTAACTTAGCATATAGGACAATTTATATAATGATCCAGACGGACAAAGCGGCGGGAAACAGCTTGTAAGTATTACAACATACCTTTATATAGCAATTTTACTAATTAAACACATCAATTACGCTACATAACTATGCCAAAATTCTATAGGATTTCATTAAATCGTTGGCAACAAGTAGATATATGTACAATACAACATATACAGATATATGACGTCAATAACAGCCGAGTCTCGTCTGAACAATTCGAGATTATCGCTGTATCGATTGAATATCAATTAATTATACTATTGTCGAGTTAATTTATTACGCTTTAATTTATTTGGATTTACAATAAATCTTACCTACTCATCAAATTTTAAAAAAGAGCTACTAAATTTGTCTGTGTGCTGTAAAAAATTTTAGATTTGAAAAAATAAAAGAAATTACAAATACATTTCGAATATTATATTCAAAATAATTATGATTTACAATAATTAGTTTATTTTACTTAATAATATTGAAATTGAGTATTTTCTTAAGTTAATAGAGGTACAAATGTTAAAATTTAAATATATTCATTAAATGCTTATTACTACTAATATGATGTGCAGAGGGAGACTTTGTACAAAAGTCGATTGCTTGGGTACCTTTGTCCCATTCGTGTTTCTACCGTGAAGCAGTTGTGTTTGCATGGCTGTGTTTCGGTTTGAAGAGTGGGGTATGGCGTGAATTTACAGGGTACAGAGGAATAACATCTGAGTCCTCAGGAATGGCAACGCATGGGGGGTATCATTTGCGTAACAGTATACTCTGTTATGTCCATGGTACTGCTCATGTCTATAGGCGACGGTTACCACTTTCCATCAGGTGGGCCGTCAGCTTGTTTGCCGTTCTAAGTTGTATAAAAAAATATGTAAAATAAATTATTTAAACCAATTAAATTATAAAGTTAGCCATTTACAGCACATCAACCATGATTACAATCTATTCGAAATATGAAAAATACATAAAATTAAACCAAAATTTGTATAACAAATGAAAAATCACAGATCTAAAAAATGTCTGCACAAGTGCCTTAACTTACAGAAAAAATATTTGAATTAATGAGTATACTGTCGGCGACAAAGGAAACCAGGAATGGAAATTGGAAATATATGTATAATAGTCAAAGGAACTTAGAAGACTAGGGCCGTAAAGGGAAGCCAAAAGGAAAACAATACATATGCGTGTCAATTTCGAATTTGGTAAATAATAATATATAGCTATAAATAATATATGTGGCCTGTACTCCACATATACTTTATTTGCATTATACAAATCTTAAAGCAATCTTTTCAAGACAACCTTAGAGTAGTGGATTAATTGTTATACAAGTACATATGAGAATATTGTATCATATATAAATATATCCTTTTAATTATGTATATTATTCCTTTTTATATATGTTATTGTACTAATGCTTACCTGGGTGATCTTATTGGAAGACTGTAAAGCTCATCCAGTTGATAAAATAAATCAATTAATTAACCTATAATCCAATTTAAGTAATAAAATTATTAACTATTTACAATTATTTTATTTTACCTTTTTTTTTATACAACTTAGAATGACAAACAAGCTGACGGCCCACCTGATGGTAAGTGGTAACCGTCGCCTTTAGACATGAGCAGTACCATGGACATAATAGAGTATACTGTTTCGCCCATGATACCTCCCATGCGTTACCATTCTTGAGGAGTCAGGTGTTATTCCTCTGTACCCAGTAAATTCACGCCATATCCCACCCTTCAAACCGAAACACAGCTATGCAAACACAACTGTTTTACGGTTGAAACACGAATGGGACAGAGGTACCCAACCAATCGACTTATGTACAAAGTCTCCCTCTGGTAAAATTAAAACTACACCCGTAAGTATAACAAATAAATAAAAAGAAATAAAAAAATATATCTATAATACTGTTTATAAATACTTGGACCAATCTGTAAACAATCTATATTTTTAATGCGAATTTAATTCTTTAAAAACAAAACGAAAATACAAAAATGTAATATTTAACTATCATGTCAATTAAATAAATGCATTGTTACATATAATGCCTTAGAATACAACATATAATACATATAAACATGGTAATATATGTACACCAGTTGAAGATTAATTTACGTCAAAATATATATTAAATAGAAATAAATAATTGCAAGTATATAAATAAAAAATAAAATAAAAACTATTTTTAAATAACTCTACCCACGTAATATTCAAACTCCGTCATCATTCGCAGAATTAAAATGGAAAACTCATTACCGGCCTCACTGCGGACTCATATTCCTCATTACCTAATGCGGAAATTATGTATTTACTTACATTTTAATGGGAAAACTTTTATTTAGAGAAACGAGTAAAAAAAAAATAACAACCTTATAAGAAATTTAAAAGCATTTTAAAAGTCATATAATTTATTTCCTTAGTACTTGAATTCGGTAATCCGGGTACAAAATCGGGATTAATATGTTTTCAATTAGGTGACATGATTATAAAATATAAATGATTATTTTATTTAATATACAAAACAATTTACACTCAATAATAACTACATTACATTAGATTAAAATAGTAAAATTAATTATTGTATAAATAATTATGTAAAAATTATGTATAAATAATTAATTAATATATAATTTAAATATGCAGAATAAAAAAAAAATATGGTTACTGCATATCTCTGTATGTATGTATTTTGCATATATAAAAACCGATCATTGTCATCACGCAAATGTGAAAACGATTCATGGCTTAACATAGATATAAATTTGATTATGTATTGACTGTAATTTAGCTGTATGTTTTCCAAAAAATAAATAAATAAATAAACAATATTAATTTAATATAGTATTTTTTTTCGTGTTGCCAGTGCTGACTTATGAAACCGAAACATAATCTTACACGATTACCCATGTGCAAAAACTTTAAATGCATACATAATTACTAAGTAATTAATACATAGCTTACTAAGTAATTTGAAGCCTTTGGAATATTTCTTTGTGTGGCAGAATCCGAAATGAAAATATCCACAAAAGAATCAAAGTAACCGACATAGTCCGAAGGATAAGAAAGCTGAAGTGGTTGGCGTTTTCTTCTGTCTTTATTCTTATAGTTTAAGTTATTTATTTTCTTAAAGAAATACAACTCATTTATACAAACGTGAGAAAATACAAAATTTTACAAATACATTACAAGTGAAGGTAGAACAGAAGTTCTTCAGATTTTGTTAACGCTTTCTATAAGACGGACTGTACGCCTTTAAAAAAAACTATATATATATATATATATATATATATATATATATATATATATATATATATATATATATATATATATATATAAAGGTGGTAAACAAACATACAGCTCGTCTGATGATAAACTTACTGTAGATTATAAACACCTGCATCACTAGAGATTAATTATTAAAACTAAGAAATCTAACTTTTTACAGCGTACGATCCATCAGAGTCGTAAATTCTCTTCTTATAAAAACCATGATCCACTTCGCCATAGCTCAATTTACTATAACCATGATACGGCTGATAGTCGTGATCGTAAGAACTGTGATAATTATCATAAGGCTCGTGATCGTGCTCGATGTAATGCGGGTGCTTCTTCTCCTTCAAATAATGTATAAACCATATAAAAAAGTGCCAGCCCTTTGTTAGCAGCGCATAAAATATAATCCCGTACACGACCTTCAGTATAAACAGCTTTATCGCCACAACGTAGAAGAAGTGAACTGTGAACAATAAAAGTCAATTGTTGAAAAAAATCTACGTTTAAACATCTCGTAAAATGAAAAACAAATATTTAAAAAAAAACACTTTTAAGAGTATTTAAAAAGGAGGTGGTTCGAATAGAATTTTTTGAATGGATATCATATCATTATATCACCCTTTAACTGTCCACTGCTGAACTTAACTCTCCCCCTTGGGGGGTTTTGCCAGTAGTTGCCATACTTGGCAGGCGGATTAACAACCGCAGTAAGGTTTTCGAAATGTTTTAATAGGGACGCTAATTACATATTATTCTTACTTGCCTGTATAGTCTAGAATGAATAAACAGTATAGAATGGGCCATCCCTTCCTTTCCCGTGGGTGTCGTAAGAGGCAACTAAGGGAGGGCGAGGGAAGGGCAACAGCGTTCCTCTTAAAACATCTCTAAAGCCTAACTCTTATTGCAAACTTGCCTGTCAAGCTAACTACTACCAAAATTCCCCTTAAGGATTTTTTTATACAACTTAGAATGGCAAACAACCTGACGGCCCGCCTGATGGAAAGTGATAACCGTCGCCTATAGACATGAGCAGTACCATGGACATAACATATACTGTATAGTATACTGTTATACTGAGTATACTGTTTCGCCCATGATACCCCCCATGCGTTGCCATTCCTGAGGACTCAAGTGTTATTCCTCTGTACCCTGTGAATTCACGCCATATCGCACCCTTCAAACCGAAACACGGATGACGCCTGTGTTTGGCAGTGGACCCTTAACGGCCGATATAATGATCACGGATCAGATTTGACCATCACAAAATTGAAATATTACTAACACGGAAGTAAACGTCGTCGATTGCAAAAATATTTGTGAAAATCAGATTCTAATTGGCTACTTAATCGCAAAAAAAACAACGCTAATTGAGAATATCCTTTCTTTGGAATTCGCTTAAAAGTAAAAGCCAATAAATAGAACTTGGTTTTCACAGCCGACCTCGTGAATAAATAAACTGTAGTTTTAGGATAGATTTCTAGTGACTGCAATGTGAATATGTTATATTACGACATTTGTTATGCAACTGGCAATGCAATCGCGGATATTACATGCAACGATTGTAAGTCAAATGACGAGAGTCTATCCATAGGTTACTCCCATTTAGTACCGAATGCATTTCTCGATTCAAATTTATCTTTAATCCTTAATGTTTACTATGTGTGATTTTCCTTGATCTATTTAATATATTTATATATTTATGTTTATGCACTATTATTTATATTATATTTGTATGTTTATATAATTTAATCTTATTTTTATATAAATGATATTTAGAGTAATATGCATTTCATTAGGTTACTTTTTTTGTATTGATTGTGTCTGACTTCCTTGCATTTGCAGACGAAGTTGCGCGGGTCAACTAGTCTGTATGCAACAATTATTGTATATATAATACAACTATTATATTGTTCTACAATATTGTAAATGTGAAAATTTATAAGGATTTCACTCATTCCCACTTAAACAAGCTATTTTACAATTACGTTATACTAGCAGGAAAGAAGTTTTTGGTGTCGATCAAATTTTAATTCACAACCATTGGGATTTTATGAATCATAGTATGTAGTTTACTTCTAATAAATACTCGAAGCATTAAGACCTGACCTCAATACAGACATTATATTCATATAAATAAAAATTATCGCTAAAAAGTACGAAAAAAATACCTACTCATTGTTTAAAAAAATTAAAAGCCCAGTCAATACTTGGAGGTCCATATGGAACAGTTTTCGAATAAAAGTTGTAGTTTTCTGTACTGTGGGCGTTTTTGTAACTTGTCCACACGTCTGGAACATATTTGGAGATAGCCAACGCCCAGGTCAACAGTACTAAGGCCTTCATTCCAGCTAGAACCACAGCTATACCTAGTACTATCTTGTACAGTCCACATTTTACGGCCAGCAATATCGCTAGGTTGGCTGCAACAGATAAATTACAATCTCATTTTGCTGATTGCCTAAATTTAGCCTAAATTTAGCTCCTACTCATAAAATTCGGAATATATACGTATACCCGAAAATACTATAAAAAATTATGTCTGGAACTATTACAGTCATATTTTAAAAATGATAAAACTAAAGCCACAAGTAAACTTTGTTCCAAAAAAAAAAAACTATATCAATTGTAACATAATGTAGAAATAACACGAGAACACTGTAAACAAATTTATATAAAATGTTCCCTTTATAATGAGATTAGTCCAAAAATAAAGGACATCGATATTTTCCATAATTCACAGCGTACCTTCATGTATAAACTACTATATCACATTAAGAGCCATGACACAATCTAAACATATTCTTTTCTTTCCTTGCAATATTAAGTACATAATAAAAAGTTCAAATAGTTTAAGTAAATAGATAGAAAGATACTCTTTATTATTTCCTCCAAAAGATTACAATAGTAAACTTATTACAAATATAAACAATAACAAGAAATAATCACAATGAGATAACAATAACCTTATTGCAAAAGGCGATCTCTTCCAAGCAATCTTTGGATGGAGAATTAACGTTCCATTATCACCCATTGAGAAAACCAAACCTAATTATTTAATTTTTAATAAATCGTATTTTGAACTTAAAAATCTAACATATATACCGATAAACTGGATAACCGATAAACCGATATTTATAAACATCACTAGCATTATCTTAGCCATTATCTTTCCAGAGCTGAACATAGGCCTCCCCCATAGACTGTCATAAGGAAAGATGCTGAGCCATCTGCATCCACTGACTCCCTGCAATGTATTTGAAGCGATTACTCCATCAAGTGTGAGATCGTCCTACACTACGTTTGCCCGTACGGGGTCGCCACTCAAGAACCTTTCTTTTCCATTGACTATCGGTTTTCCGAGCTATTTATTTATGACTATGCCGTCCCGGCTTCGCACGAGTAGACATTTTTACAATATTTTAAAACGTGGTTATTATGACATAACGATAACAGTTGGACATATAGTGTCGCTAAGTTTTTTATAGTTATTAATATTTTCTTCGATATTGTAGAACATACTTTTGTTCTATCACCAATAGTTTCCGCAGCGCACGCGACGAAAGATATTTTATAGCATTTTTTTTACACCTTGAGTTAATGTACTAAAGTTTTAGTAAGGATCCCTAATCTTTTCTAGCAATAAATATAACCTATGTTACTCAGGGTGAATGTAGCTTTCTAATGGTGAAAGAATTTTTTAAATCAGCAAAGTAGTTTTTGAGTTTATTCATTACAAACATACATATACACAAAAATACAAATCTTTCCTCTTTATAATATATATCTATATTATTAATACTAACTTAATTGTTATTTGCAGTCTACAAACTGCGATACCGTAAAACCATATAATCTCCACCCACAGCTCCGTGCAACGTCATTAAATATTTTACAGCATAAAATGTTTTCGCTGCTTCCCACGCACTCTCGTACATCTTTTTATTAAAGCCTTTAGCAGACTTTTCAATGTTCAACTATTCTCTTTCAGAGGCGTTGAGAATTCCCATTTAGTTCTGTAAGTGCTCAGTGAATAAGTAGATACGCACGGTAAACGTTTTCCTTTCATACAGTTTGTAATTTAATGTATACCATTCAATATTTATAAAAGGAATATTTAAAAGTTCGCATTAATAAAAAGTCACTTACTTATTTATTTTATAAAATATTTATTTAAACATTCAAAAATATATTTTTTTTATACCACTGAGGTGGCAAATAGGCATACTGCCCACTTGATGGTAAGCGGTTACCGTAGCCTATAAACGCCTGCAATACCAGAGTAACCTCTTTACCCCCTTTTTGAAGAACCCCATGCTGTAGTCTCTTGGGAAAACCTCGGCAGGGAGCTCATTCCATAACCTGAGTGTTCGTGGGAGAAAACATCTCTGAAACCGCGTTGTACGCGACCATTTAGGCTGAACTTCCCGTCGATGGCGAGCCGTACTATAATAACACAAAAAGTGGCCGTGGGCATCATATTGAATAATTCCTGTGAGCACAATCCGTTGTACAAACGGTAGAACACGCAGAGTGAGATAAATACTGCAATTTTAATTCAATGTTACGACGCCATTTTGTCCAATCAGGAGGATCTCTTATTTTTTATGGGAATTTTGGGAAATAGGTACTTTCTTAGAATACCTTAATTACAAAAGGAAATTTTAAGTCGCCCATTATATTCAATATTTATATTAAAAACTAGTCTTTAACCGCGACTTTGTTCGCGTCACAAGGATATTGTGATGACCAGAACAAAAATTAGCCTATGCCTCCTTTCCTTTCTATCCTAAAAATACGATATGTATGCCAAATTTCTTGATTAGTTGAGTCGCAAAAATGATTTAGAAAAGGTTATTATGTCTTTTATAAAAATAGGCATTGGAGGTTACAATAAAATACCGAAGGATGTTTTGGATCTACCTTTTAATAAGTTTAAAACTGTTATTAAAAAACACTTATTGAACAAAGCCTATTACACAATAAACGATTACTTAAATGGCAAATGTGCATGGTGTTAGTCGATCATGCATGGGCTTTTAACGACCATGTAATTTCAAACGTAATACATTTCAATAAATAATGTTAACAGAGATTTAAAAGTGTAATTATTAAGTTTTTTGCTGACGCTTTTCAACAGATAATAACTTTCCGAAGCTTGTATTCATAAAAAAAAAAGCACGATTTAAAAGTGCTTGTAAACAATAGTCTATTTAAATAAAGACGATTTGAATTTAAAATCAAACAAATAAATGTACAAACTGATATTCACATTTACGAGTTTATATTTATATTCAGTGAAATTTTATATTTATATTCATTATTTTATATTAATATTCAGTGGCATTAAAATATTCCAATAAAATACATATTCATGGATTACAAATGGCACTGTGCTTCAAAACATAAAATTGAGTACTTAGTTTCCTGTTCATATGTTCATATTGAAACTAAGAATTAATTTCAAACCACAATTTATACTATTTTTTTTTTACAACACAGGGGGCAAACGAGCATGCGGCTCTCCTGATGGTAAGTGACTACCGCCGCCCATGATCAACCACAACACGAAAGACATTGCAGCTGTGCTGTTAGCCTTTTAAAAAGGAATATGCTCTTTTCTTTTATTTATTTATTTAGGACAACCAACAAAGCATACATTTATATCTACTTAAAATACATTATAATAAGGTTACATTATAAAATGCTGCCTAAATTAAAGGCCGTCACGACATGCGTATTCATAATATATTATTATTAGTATGAAAATTTATAAAAACTACAATACTAGTTATACAATAAATAGACTACAGTAATATTTTAAATTTTAAAGATTTGTACACTTATAATCTGTACATATGTGCAATGATACATTCCATGCTGTTATTAAGCTGAATAAATTAATAACAGCATAGCATGTATCATTCTTGAAAGTTATGATGTCGTATGGGTTGGAAAATACTGCCGCTGGAAGTTGATTCCAAAGAATGCTTGCTTTAATTAATGTTAGTTTAATCAATTTATACTAAATTATTTAATTTATAATTAAGCTGTTATTCTAGTGAGCTTGGGTGTATTCTCTATATCAAACTAGTATGTCGTTTATATATATATATATATATATATATATATATATATATATATATATATATATATATATATATATATATATATATATATATATATATATATATATATATATATATATATATATATATATATATATATATATATATATATATATATACTAAATTTCATTTAAATAAATAAATTTATTTATTTATTTATTTTTCACTTAAAACATGAGACACACGGTATTATATATAAAAAGCATAAGTAAATCTTTCACCATACATAGACATGCAAATGTTATTTCAATATTCAGCCATTTAATTACTTTCTTAGTAACGAACGTCTAAACACACAAACATTTCTATTAACTTTGACTTTAATAACATTAGTACTCTTAGGAAGCAGCTTAATTATTCAAATAAATCCGTTATCTTAATTAAACCTTATGTAATTAAAAATAATTAAAAAAGGAACACGATGGAAAAAAAAAATCCTGTCATTTTAATTTCTTCATTCCTGTAATTTAGCCGCGTACTTCCTGCTCTCGATGCTTCCAAATTTAAAGTTATCTTTTAATTTTTTCGCCACTTATTTTTTTTTTTTTTCTATTATTATTAAGCTTTCAACGTTAATACGATAAAGCAAATTACAAGTATGATGTCCGCTCTATAAGTTGTATGACGAGCAAATAACACGACGACTTTTATGAGAAACTTCTATTTATATCTTCCATTAATATCTAAATCCTGAGAATTAATAATTTTTAATTACAATATATAATAAGAATTTTTATTAAGCATTTTTTTTATTTTGAAAATAAAAATGTCTTACGTCCGATACTTGAATCAATACATATATAATAAAATCGTAACTAGTATCTGTCTGTACATGGAAGATATAAAAGACTATTAATAATAGGGGGGTTTTATGAACGCAATAGAATACAAAACAATGATTTTTAGAATTTTTATCTATTTGTCTGTAGGTTTGTGCGCGCTAAACTCAGAAACGGTTCAATCGATTTGAATGCAGTTTTCACTAATGCGTTGCAGTTCATAAATAAGAAAATTATATCAATCTAAGGAAGCACCTATAAAATGCCATAAAACAACCGATCAGTTGAATTGGCTGAAACTTTATGAAGGTATTATGTATGTAATTATCACTTAAGTATATAATACAATATAAAACCGGATTCATAGAGAGTTCCAATGGGAATGATATACGGAAACTATCATTAAAATTGTGTTCCACAAGGAAACGGACCTTAATTATGGGAAAACTAGTTATTTTTATTTAAAAACTAAACCACTTAACTGATGTTGATATTATTTCTATAGAATCAATTTATAATATATACTTTATTTTATATACTTACTTATTTTAGACAAAAAAATAATTTGTCTAAAATAAGTAAAGACACACATGCACCTACAGACACACGCATATATACACGCACACATACTCGCACACACACACATGTGCGCGCACACACACACGCACACACACGCATGCACACACACACAACTTCCAGATTAAATTATAAATTATTATCTCTTCCTATAAATTATATTTTTTACATTGAATTCACTTATTATATTACAAGTGCTTAGTAAGTAACCCTGCGGAGTGAGGCCCTGGTGACCTGTAATACAGGTAATCTTATACCTATCTCAGGCACCAGTCTCTCACGATTATATTTATAATTTGATTACTTTAATATAAGCACGTCTCATTGTATTTCACTGCAATGAATTGTGAAGAGAAAATAAATCTGTTTATTATTATTATTAATAATTTTTAAATCGGTTTACAACTGACGGAGTTACGAAGTACCAAACATTAAAAGAAAACATATGTATAACCGAATCGAGAATCTTTTTGGAATCAATATAACATATATATATATATTATATATGTAAGTTTACGTCGTAATTGTTAACTTTTAGATTTATTTTGTAATAAAAAATAAAACAAAATTGTAAAAGAAGATGTGTAAAATTAAAATTTGTTATATGCCTACCCTATTTTTTAAACCATATATGTATTAATTCAGTTCGAATTTTAAACAATCCTGAAGAATATCAACCTAAACTCAAAATTTGCAATAACATTTATAGTGAAGTGACTACCACTTAAAATAACCTATTTGAGGAAAAAGATTTTCTTAACATTTATATATATATATTTTTACAACACAGGGGGCAAACGAGCATGCGGCTCACCTGATGGTAAGTGACTACCGCCGCCCATGGTCACCCACAACACCAACGGCATTGCAGGTGTGCTGCCGGCCTTTTAAAAAGGAATATGCTCGTTTCTTGAAGGTTATGTATACTTATAAATGTTTATATTATCCAAGAAAAAGGGACTTTTTTTAAATTAGGTCGATAGAAATAGTTTTTATTTAAATAGACTTGTCTTTTAAATCGTCAGTTTTTTTATGATTCTACAGCAGTGTTTGGGTGCTGCTGTGAATCATAAGAGAATCATAAGAATGTTGTCATCTGCTGAGAAGAACCCGCAAGAAACTCGACAGTTACTCCTTTCAAATTATTATGTACAAGATAATTTTACATTTGCATAGAAACCGTAACTGGTATTAATTAAAATCAAGTTAAATAAAAAAAATCAAATCAATATATATGTATTTCTGTGTATTATATTATTTTACTAAAGTTACGAAACTTCCCTTTCATTTATAATACCTATAAAATAAAGGTTCGTGTTTCAACCGTGAAGCAGTTGTGTTTGCATGGCTGTGTTTCGGTTTGAAGGGTGGGATACGACAGTGAATTTACTGGGCACAGAGGAATAATACCTGAGTCCTCAGGAATGGCAACGCATGGGGGATATCATGGACGAAACATTATACTCTGTTATGTGCATGGTACTGCTCATGTCTGTAGGCGACGGTTACCACTTTCCATCAGGTGGGCCATCAGCTCGTTTGCCATTCTCAGTTGCATAAAAAAAAGAAAAAATCTAGGTACTTACTGAATAATGCATATTTTCCTTTTCCACGCGCTTCGGCCAATTCCTTAACTTCTTCATCCTGGCTTTTCACAACACATACAAATGACACAAATAAAAAAATTACAAATGTGCTCGTATTCATTTTTTTTATTTTTATTTTTAAACACAATTTTATTGGATTATACTATACGGTAATCCTCGGCCAAAAGTGGGCGTGTAATGGCTGTAAAAATTTTACAGAACCCGTAGTTCTGAAGTGTTAATTACATGATAAATATAGCGTGAAAGTACTCAGCGACTGTTTAGAAATCATGTAACATATTGTAGTGAAAATGTTTGCGTTACATTTTGTAACCAATTTGTATAGATTTGGAAATTTTTATACAAATGTCTCTGTACAGTGCTATATTATATTTCATAGCATATGAGTAATATAAAACAAAGTCGCATCCCGCCCTCTGTATGCTTAGATTTTTTAAACTACGCAATAGATTTTAATGCGGTTTTTATCAATGGATAGTGATTTAAGAGAAAGATATAATATATATGTAGAAGGCATTTAAATAGTGGCAATGGGCTGGTCACATAGCTCGAAGAACCAACAACCGATGGGAAAAAAGGTTCTTGAGTGGCGACCTGAAATGCGTTGCAGGGAGTCAATGGATGCAGGTGGCTCAGGACCGTTCTTTATGGCAGTCTATGGGGGCGGCTCATGTCCAGCAGTGGACAGGTAATGGCTGAAATAATGATAATAATATAAATAGATAGATTTTCAAGTTAAATTCATTATCAATAAAACCAGCTCTTGCCCGTAGTTTTACCCACGTGTATCAACAGACATTAAACGTATCCTGTATTGAGTTATTGTTACTGATGCCCGGGCAGCTACCACTTTGCACTACTTTTTTATACTTCTATTTATTTTGTATTTTACATTTCACTGTTCTAATAAACGCCATAGAAATAATTATATAGAATATAACTTACTATTACAATCGTTGAACTGCTTTAAATTTAAAAATAAAATGATATTTATTTTATACAACTTAAAATGGCAAAAAAGCTGACGGCCCATCTGATGGAAAGTGGTAACCGTCGCCTATAGACATGAGCAGTACCATGGACATAACAGAGTATACTGTTTCGCCCAGATTATGATACCCCCCATGCGTTGCCATTCCTGAGGACTCAGGTGTTATTCCTCTGTACCCTGTAAATTCACGCCATATCCTATCCTTCAAACCGAAACACAGCCATGCAAATACAGCTGGCAATAAGAGATTTTTCATTTTTATTCTTTAACAAACAATTAGAAAAAAAATCTAAAAGTTTCTTGTTTCTATTACTCTCATTACAATGCCCCATATAAATTTTTCTTAAACGTCTCGCATGCACAGCCATTGTCTATTTACAATTTTATTATATTAGTAAATTTAGTAAAATAATATGATAATTTGTTAAAAGTATCGATATATATATATATATATATATATATATATATATATATATATATATATATATATATATATATATATATATATATATATATATATATATCGCTTATATAAAACCTTTGCACAAATTTTTCAACATTACCCCTTAAAGCAACTAATAACGGAAAATTGCTCTGTACGTGTGGAGCAATCATCGTTAAATTTGGAAATAATGAGCAGATCCCGTTTACGAGTTAGGAAATATAGCCGAGATAGTAATGGCTAGTTCTAATATCGATATTAGAAAATATATCGACACTGCAGCGGAAAGGAGGTAATCGACGGTTACCACTTTCCATTAGACGAGAGAACAGCTTGTTTGTTATCTATACTTATAATAAATCTATAGAATGGTCAATTCTGTACATGAAATATATTTCCAAAATAACTATCAGGGGGTGATTAGTGATCAATACTGATGCCAAAAATGGAATCAGTAAAATTTTTGTCTGTCTGTATGTTCGTTATAGAAACAAAAACTGCTCGAGGGATTTTACCAAATTTTGGTACAATTATTTTTCTTACTCCTGGGCAAGTTATAGTATACTTTTCATCACGCTTCGATCAATAGGAGAAGAGCAGTGAAGGGAAATGTTGGGAAAACGGGAGATGTTACTCCATTTTTAAGCTTCCATCGCATGTGCAGCCTTAATGGCCACTTTTTAAAATGTAAAAATGTTCACCCGTGCGAAGCCGGGACGGATCGCTAGTTTCGAATAAATAAATAAATCTTGGGGTCTTCAAAAGACACTTGAAAAAGCAACTACTAAGCCGACATAGCGAGATCATGCGTTAAATTAGGTTACCTAATTCATAAATTGATTCTGTTTATGTATTGTGCACTAAATCTTGCTTCTGCTAAGCAACAAACGCACCATTTCGTGTCGAGCTATTATAAAGAAATAGGCTTCTTTAAATAAATATTTTAACAATAATAAGAACGGAAGAGAATAAGATCATGACAAACAGCCATTGCTTGTCCACTGCTGAACATAGCCCTCCCCTAAACTAGTATAAGGTACAGTCCTGAGCCACCTGCATCTACTGACTCCCTGCAGCGCATTTGAGATCTTCACTCCATCTAGTGGACAGGCCGTCCTGCTGTGTGTGCTGCCGGCCTTTTAAAACGGAGTATGCTCTTTTCTTGAAGGTTATGATGTCGTATCGGTTCGGAAATACTGCTACTGGAAATTAATTCCAAAGAGTGGTTGTGTGTGTGCGTGCGAGCGAACGTGCGTGCGTGCGTGCGTGCGTGCGTGCGTGTGTGGAAGAAAATACACTATTTACATAGTATTAACATATAATAATCAACATAGTTACACTATTGCATTAGGATTATTTATTTACATGTAAAAATAGTGTAAATGTAAAATAAATAAATAAATATTGTAAACGCAAAAGTTAGTAAGAATGTATTTTGTTAAAAAGATTTAAATGAAATTTGGTACATAGACGGTTTTAAACCTTAACATATAGTATATAGCTAATATCACCAGAGGGAGACTTCGTACAAAAGTCGTTTGCTTGAGCACCTCTGTCCCATTCGTGTTCCTACCGTGAAGCAGTTGAGGTTGCATGTGTGTGGTGAGATATGGCAGTGAATTAACATAGTACAAAGGAACAGCACCTGAGTCCTCAGGAATAGCAACGCATAAGGGGGGGGGGGCATAAGGGGAGGGGGCGTATCATGGACGGAACAGTATACTCTGTTACGTCCATGTTACTGCTCATGTCTATAGGCGACGGTTACCACTTTCCATCAGGTGGGCCGTCAGTTTGTCATTCTAAGTTGCATAAAAAAAAATCAACATAAATGAAAACAATATAAAATATTTTATCGAACATTTCCCCTCACTAGTCAAATGACGTTCTCAAGAGCCATAACGCCTGTTCCTCTTTGATGGCAGATGAACTCGTACTGATAGCTCGCGTGATTAAGAAAATTAATACTCTACCATTAATATAATGCTCCCAAAATGGAAAGCACACTATGTCTATACACGTCATAAATATTTTTTTTTCAATGGATAATAATGGAATGGTAACCCCACCCCGCCTACGCTAACAGTATGCGCTAGCGGGGCACCAGTGAGGGATGATTGGTGAGAATGAAAAGGCAAGTGAGTTAGCCCATCGTGATGAATACACCTGGAATTCAGCACGATGGTTTCCAGGGAGGACCACGTGGAGGTCGACCTTGCTAGCAATGGAACTGATAATCCGCATTACTAACACGTAGGTACCTATCGGAAAAGATTACCTAGTTTGCTGAAAATGAGTTACCTTAATCAAAATGAGTTTGTATGTTACCGGCCAAACCCAATTACCAATTGGGTGTAAACCAAGGCTCTGAAACATCGTTAAGGACTGCAGCTACGAAACAAACAATTGGATAAGACTAAGGATTATGGTTTTAATAAAAACTAGCGGCCCATCCCGGCGTCGCACGGGTGGGCACATTTTTAACATTTCCCTTCACTGCTCTGCTCTTATTAATTGTAGCGTGATGAAAAGTATACTATAACCTGCCCAGGAGTATGAAGAATAATTGTACCAAGTTTCGTTAAAATTCATCTAGTATTTTTTTTATACCACTAAGGTGGCAAACAAGCAGTAGCAGTTTTTGTTTCTATAACGAACATACAGACAGACAGACAAAAATTTTACTGATTGCATTTTTGGCATCAGTATCGATCACTAATCACAACCTGATATCTTCAAAGCTAAGATATCAAGTTAAAATATCTTCAAAGCCTAATCGCGGTTGCCAATCCCCCTGCCAAGCATGGCAACTACTGGCAAACCCCCCAAGGGGGAGGCTTATGTTCAGCAGTGGACAGTTAAAGGCTGATTTTCATACCATATGATGACTTAATCTTAATTATAGTAAGTATACATGTTTTGTTGTAGATACGTAAAATTCAGGCAATGAAATTCAGATCGCTTACATAAGAACGAAGCTCTGTTTTCCAATATCGGAGCAATTTTAGGAATATCGTGTTCAGTAGTCAGGTAGATCTCGTTTTCTAGGAATATTCTTGCTTCCATTCAAAAATTTTACCTGCATTTTGTTATTATCCTATTACTTGCATATATGTGGAAATTCGCAAAGGCCTTTCGATGTTTATTATTCAATTACAGTCAAACGGGTTATAGTTATACCAGAGGGAGACTTTGTACAAAAGTCGATTGCTTGGGTACCTCTGTCCCATTCGTGTTTCAACCGTGAAGCAGTTGTGTTTGCATGGCTGTGTTTCGATTTGAAGAGTGGGATATGGCGTGAATTTACAGGGTACAGAGGAATAACACCTGAGTCCTCAGGAATGGCAACGCATGGGGGGTATCATGGGCGAAACAGTATACTCTGTTATGTCCATGATACTGCTCATGTTTATAGGCGACAGTTACCACTTTCTCTCAGGTGGGCCGTCAGCTTGTTTGCCATTGTAAGTTGTATAAAAAAAATATTGAACCAGTAAGTATATAGATACTGTAACTAAAATATTTATTTATTTATTTTACACTTTATTGCAAGAAGTAAAAAAAATAAAATAATTATTACAGTAAATATTAATGAGAAGTGATACAAAAGGCGGCCTTATCGCTATATATATATATATATATA